AGATCCGTCTAAAGCAATCGGTACCGAAAAAGAAAATTTTGCAACAGGTCAGTCCAAAACTGATAGTTCTAAAACAGATGCTTCTAAAAAACTATCAAAGAAAAGCAGAAATAAACATAAACTCAAAACGAGGATAACAGATAATTTTGCCTCGGATCAATCTAAAGCAGATGATACCGAAACAGAAAATGTTGCAACAGATCAGACGAAAACAAAGGATTCTAAAACAGATACTTCCATAATAAAAGCACGTAACACTGAAGAATTATCACAGAAAGGCAGAACCTATTTAGCCCCACATCAATCCAAACACATACCGGTTACCTCAATAGATGACAACAATGATAATGAATTGCTGAGTCTACCGATTACACCGGTTGATATCTTGCCGCCGGTGAAATACAAGTGTAAGTAACATAATATTATCGTTTTCATTGCTTTCTAGTTTCTAGGCATAAGTTAGGTAAGTACCTTGGCTACTTGGTGTTTTACAAAACAGATAAAAATAGAATTCTGCTATCTTTTGTTCGGCATAGGAATAAGCAATTGTATAAATTATAATAATTGCTCGCGTAACTGGCCATTCGCGCATTTAGCTTTCGCGCAACCGTCTTCGCACTATCGTCATTCTCGTAATCGGCATTTACACTCACGTCGTACACCTGTTACATAATTCAATGGATTGTCAGGTGACATTGATTCTATCTTTTATTTTTTCCATCCTCTAAGGATTCTATATACAAAAAAAAGAAAGATTCTTTAAATATATTTTAAGAGTATAGATATACCTTCTAGTATCATTTTCCCGTTTTCAATCTTACATATTGAGACAAAATTTTGCTAATTTTTATTCCAGACTATGATCATCCAAAAAATCTGAAATACAAAGGCTCATGCCTCGATGGTGATTACGGCACAAGGTATGCACATTTGCTATTTTTTAATTGTAACTATGTGGGAACATCAAAATAGGTCTGGTTTTTGTGAATCGACTTTGCCACTGTCACCAACCCTATCGACGACGGAATCGGCTTAAGTCGTCACCGATTGTGGTATGAATTTTATTTAAGTATTTATTTATTGGTCCGCCAACAGTTATTGCAATAGTGATTTAAGTAGGTAAGTGCAATAAATTAAAAATGGTGAAGATATCATCGAATTGCACAACTAATTATGAGTGAACACTGCTTACAAAAAAAACGTAAAAATAGAGAAATGTAAATCTAAAAACAATATTAAAAAAGAAAACACAAAAATAATAAATAAACGAGAATAAAGGTCCCTGGTCTTATCAACGTAAAATTACAAAAAAAAAAGAAATTCTGTTGAGGTTTCATAAAATTAATGTAGGCGTCCACAGATCCGCAGCGGACGGATCGCATTATACGGATTATAGTATAGGATAGTATTCTTTGTATAGAAGTTCACACAACTCCGTCTACTGATCCGCATCGCACGCACCGGCCTGACGGTAATGGCGACGCAGTTGCTCGGAGGGCCAACATTTCCGACTTTTATCGCAGTAGTAGCAGTAGAGGTCCTTGTAAAAAAGAGTTCATCCGAGGCGTCGAGTACATAACCGGAATTAGAGACGAAATGAGCCGTCCATCCCTGGCAACTCATCAGTCAAATGGTACTGATATCAGATTACTGCGATTTAAAGCTCTGAGTGGCACTGCAACTGCTATGAATAGGCGTGTCGTGTGTAATCAAAAAAATCTTGTCGAGGTTTTAGCCGGCAGATAGGTAGGTATCCTACACCATTGCCGCCTTTCTTAAGATTGCATCACGATCTATTTCTATTATAAATTTTGATGAGTGTATTATGACAATTGACAGTATAGGCATAGTATAATAATTTCTATCCTCTAAGAAGTCAAAGTCAAAGATTATTTATTCCATAGGTAAAATAAATTTACACTTGAAAACGTCACATTTAAGCTACTGCTCGTTCACTACGCTGACCTCCC